TGCTTGAGCCCAAGTTAAAACTTTCACAATAAAAGTTTGATCCCAACATCAAAAACCCTTATCTATCATTCTTAGGCAATTCTTTCGGATTTGGATCAGCCCCTGCAGAAAATATTTGACCAGCATTTTTTCAAAGCTTATTGTCTCTCAAAATCAATTAAAACTACGAAGCAAGAAGAAACTATTAACAAAGTTTCAATCGAAATTTTGGGTTTTACACCAAAAACTAAACTCTGGTTCATAAGCAAGTAACTGCTCACGCCTGAACAAAAAAAGCTCAAATTACCCTTAGAAGCTAACTTTTCTACGTTTATACTATCGTTCTTAATCCTGTGATAGCCGATTTCCTAGCACCAGTAGAGCTTTCAAACCTCAGCGAGTAAAATTAAATTGAATGGTACTGAAATATAAAATCTGTGACAAAAAACAAAAGTACCAGTTTTTTCTCGAACTTTATAGAATTTATCAAAGTTTTGACTAAGAAGTTGTCGTTAAAACATCATCTGAAGATCAACATTGATAATGTTTTAACTGGAAACAAGTTGACATATAAATATCAATAGCTGCAGACCTTTCGGAAAGAACGGTAAAGATAATCGATTCATTAAGCCTCCGTTCCAAATCTGTACCACACAGAATACGTAACAGCACTTTTCGTGGTTGATTACCCGTTGAACGAATACTGTCTGGTAGTTCAACCAAAAACAGTAAGTTACTCGTACCACCACTAAAAAACTTTTTTTTTTTCAATTGGCATAAGTCAAACTGTACAGAAAAGATTTACTATTTTTTTTTTGAGAATAATTATTTACAACTTAAATTGTTCCATTTCAAAAGATAACTTTTGAGATAAAAAATTTAAACAGTTGTATGCATATATGTGTAAAGAAAAAAAAACTATGAACACAGTGCCTTATCCCTTATACTAGTAAGTTCAACCGAGATGACCCTGTGAGTAACTATAAAACAGTTACAGAACATTTGATAAAAAAGCTGATGAGTATATTCAGCAAAATAAAGATGGGCCATAAAGATGAATTTACCTTCCACAAATATACAATTATGCAGTGCAGTAAAACCGCTCAAATCTTTTGTTTCTGGAATTCTGCACAAATACCACGTTAGAAGAAAATAAAAAAAACAACCTAATTTTATGCCACGTAAAAAAAAAAACAAAAATTTTTCAAATCGCTCAGCTGCACTAATGAGGCACTGAATCTGAATTTAAAAACAAATATACATAGAAGACCGCAGATTTAGTTAAATTCCTCACCCAAACAATGTTAAAAACCCACGTTATCGCCTTAATGCGGAAATTTTCATGTTTCACCAATTTCCAACTGCCACCAAGAATATTTGCGCATAATTCTCGAGCACATGCAACTACACGCTTTCGTGAGCCTTTTGATTCTGAACTCCATAACTGGAAGACTTGCTAAAAAAAAAACCGTGCTGCATTTAGTAAGATTTTTGTTCTTAGAAACGTATCCTATTCAAACACCTAATCATTATCCTCTTTGTCTTTGACCGTTAACGAACTGAGGTGAACACAAGTACAGCCTTTTATCATATATTACAGGTCATGTGTATGACAACTTATTGTACCTTTGATTAACAAGACGGTCAAATGTTAAAAGCACTAAATTTCTAGCTGCAAAACCAAGAACAAAACCCTCTTAGTAAAATTTTAATAAGGTGATAAGCTAGAAAAGCTAAATTTTAGTACTAAATGCAATATTTAATTATCAAAAAATATTATAATTGCCAACAGATACCAAAACACTTTCATCTTTTAGTTTCATTTCTTCTGAATTATCATACAGTAACTCAGAAAAAATGAAAGTAAAAGATGAAATTAAATTTACAGACAGAAAATCAAATCAAAATATACAAATTATACAAATCAAAATTTTTTGCCACATGATTTTTTCTATCGTTACTGTCTGTAAATAGCAACATATTCAAATTGTTCTTCGGCCGTTAAACTCGTTTTCAATTAATACTCAGCTTGAAAAAATGTAAATTAAAAGGGTTGTAAAAACATGCACGAAAGCGTTATTTATTTGAAAAAGTTGGGTTCACAATCTTTTTAAAAAAACTGGAAATTTAAAAAAAATCAATAAAATATGCACCATCATACGATTTTTTTTGTTGAAGTCTCCCCGTTATTCAGAACGGTCATAAAAGAGTAACTCACCAAACTAAAAGCGCATTTGAAGTGTTAAATGATTTAATTGTATTAGCTATAAATTAAGCATTCAGAACAGTTTGGATAGTCAATCTTCCAATAACATTAAACACATCAAATGTGAGGTAACTAGAAAAAAGTACTTAAAATCTTCAAAAAGTTTACAACTCAATTATTTGGGCACTAGCATAGAAAGTATAATTTGGAAATTCCACCGTCGTTAATTCTGTCGGTAGAAGGAAAATAAGATAGAAACAGAGACTTCTGCCGCAAGTTTAAAATCTATGAATTATAAAAATACAACAGAACCCTGAAGCGCAATTTTCCATTAAATTGGGTCCTACCTAGTAACTTTGAAAAAAAAAAAAAAGAGACAACATATTGAGAAAGGTAACTGAGCCTATTAACAGAACGGAGAATATTATATAGATATAGTAAACAAACCATCTGGCTGAAATTTAGCCTTTGCCGATAATCAAAACTATAAAAAAAGCTGTCAACATTACAAAAAACATAAATTTAAGTGCTGATTCACAGGCTCAACAGAGCTGTTTAGTATTTTACAGAAATAAACTAGAAAAAAAAAAAAGGAACTCTCCATAAAATTTCCTTACTTTAACATCAGCCCCAGAAGACTGTGGCATTGTACACCAGTCATCAGAACACACGTCATTATTCGGATAATCAGCTTCTTCCAAAGAATCCGGTAAGCGACAAGGTTTATGCATTGGACATTTGAACGGCATTGGATTGCTATCCTGTTCAGGCATTATCAGTTGTCCTTGGTCGACTACTTCCATAATCAGCGCATGAAAAGAATATGCTAAAATATTGCTACAGTTCAATAATGACAGTTAAGTTGAATGAGATTCTGAAAGATTCCGTTTTCAGGAAACGAATAAGCACCTGCAGCTGTTATTACGCTGTCCAAATAAAAACAGTTCCAGTGTCTTAGTGTTTTACATAAAAGTACAGTAAATACAGCAAATTCAAAGCAAACAGGACATCAGTATATTACAGAACGTATCAAACGGCATCGCGTAGATCTCAGAAGTTGATAATAATATTTAACACTGTTGTACAATCATTTGAAACTATGTGAACAGGATTTCAGCAGAAAGCAAGTACCAACAACTTTGGATCAGTATCAAACAAAAAAACCTTAATACTTCTTGGTCCTTTAACTTCTATGACAAAAAAGTCAAGGTACCACAATACTTATCTGAATACCCTTAGTCTCTCTTCTTTTCTAAATACTTCGACAGAACTATAGCTAAACTTCGTCAAGCCCAGAATCATGAAAAATGAAACCATTACAGCGTAGCTCATCCGCCAATTACAGTAGGGATTTTGTCATTTTTTATACAAAAAACTGTTGTTCAAAAACGCGTTTTTCAGTTTTGTTTTACAACGAAACCAAAAGTCTTAACCAGTGTTAACTGAGAGATGAATTCTTTTTTAAACTTTTTTTTTGTGTTTGTGCGCCACCTGTATCATCAAATTTCTAACATAATTTCGTTCTAGAAATAGAACTTTGCAACTATTACATTGGTAAAAAATAAAAAACAACTTTTACTAACTTTTTACACATTTATCATAACCTTATTATCAATCACTGTTCAAAGCACTAAGCTGATTGAAGTGTGCAGAACGGTTTTCAGACAGTTTAATTATTTTTGCAAATGAAACACCGAGAAGAATTGTTTATTTCTTCAGTCCGTAGTTTTACACAAAGCAAGTAAAAATTCTGTGGCATGTAAATTTTAAATCCAGCTTAAGCTTTTAAAACCTCTTCCGGGATATCTAAAAAAAAGAAAATGTTTATCAAAGACAAAGTTCAACCTGAGTACTGGAAGTTCACTTCATTAAACGGCATTTACACTTTCTCAGCCGTCTCTCAGCTTGGTACATCACCGTGTCATTCTTGTTGTTCTTAAAAAAAAAAAAAGATAGAGGAAAAAAGAAAAAAAAATATTTCTAATTCCTCTCATATCAACGACAAAAAAAGAAAAATAAAACTGTTTGCAATCAGATTATTTATGCATATTTTCAGTTCGGTTACAGCGACGTTTCAATGTAAATGAGTCGTCTGAGTAACCGTAGAAGAAGTTGCCACTTCTAAGCACTTTAACTGATCAGTAATCGCTAAATATAGCTTTTATCAACTGCCACAGTATTGAAGGTGTAAATTATCAAAACTTTTCGTCCTTTGTGTCATCATTATAATAAATTCTTTGCTGAAGAAGAAATTGTTTACTCCTCATTCGGCTTATAAAAATACTTTCGTATAAAAATGTCACAGATATTTCGGCAAAATTTTTACAACATTCCGTCTCCAGCAGACTATCTAATACATGCTGAAAATCATCGTCACGACGCTTTAAAGGTATTCAATATTTAGGCTAATGATTAAGTTCTGATTTTTTTCAACTAATTTCAAAGAGTTTTTCGGTGGTCAGCCTCAGCAGCACTCTTTAGATAATTTTTGCTGATTATTGTAAAAAAAAGAAAAAAATATTTCTAATTTCTCTCATTACAACAAATTGTAGCTGTAAGGTTTTACATTCAGTATTCTGGAAGTTTAGTTCGGTCTACATTTAAGGACTGTATCAGCTTCATTTGTGCGATGATTTAGACACTATTCTGCCGCTAAGTGTAATAAAAATAGCAAAGTATTTTTGACAGCTTTTAGTTAGTATATCAGTGCATTAAATTGAAGAACAAAAGTGAGAACAATTGTCAAAAAAAAAAAGATTTTTATTTACCTCAAAATAATTACATAATAAAAAGAAAAAAAAAAGAAAAAGAAGAACAGGAAACAAGGACTGGAAGCAAAGATTAGACTCTATGACAATAGTATAAATCAAAAGTGCGAAAAGATGTTTCATTATTGCACATGTTTTTTTATCACACAAAAATTTATTTCCTAGATAATTACTAAAAATAATATTTCTAATATTAAAGTTAAAATCACCTGATTTCAAAAAAAAAAAAAAGGCATATAAAAATTATTTGATAACAAAAAGGTTTACCCAAATTGCAATAATTATTCCAATTCATCTACAGATGAAAAAATAAAAAAACTTGAGTTATTTTTTAACAACTTTTGTTGCCAATTTTTTTTTTTTTTTTCAAGCATAGTTGTGATCAAATTTTATAAAAATCTTCATCGCAGATATACCGTATTGAAAACGACAACCAAAAAAAAATTGAATAACAATAAAACAAATTCAGATCGAACTAAAATTTTAAATCAAAAAATGAGGCATATTTTGACCAAAATCAAATTAATCAATCTAAAAAAAATTGTCAAAAAAATTTGCAGTAAACAGTACGTTGTTTTTTTTTTTTTCTTGCAAACTTGTAAATTCGTTTTCAAAAAACTAATATTTAAAACAGAAACATAAACTACTATCTGCTTAATTTCAGCACTATTAAAG